TATATAAAATTTTATTTTTATATAAAATATGAATAAATTTTATTTTTAAAAATAAGTTAATATTTTAAAAAAGTAGTATAGTGTTATAATATGTACTGGTACAAGAAGTCGTGTGGCCCAAGTGGCAACTTAACTATTTGTTAAAGGGCATCTTACTTTCGGTGTGAGGTTCAATTTTCATCCCTTCTTGCATTCTCTTGCTGTAGCTGTGGCTGTGACCGCTGCTGCCTAAAAGGACAGCCGGTGGATTGCACCCTTATTCATGTTCAATATCTATCTTTAACAATTATAACCTTATTAACCTCTAATCATTGTCCTTATAAAAAAAAAAAAATACTTGTGCAGTATATTTAATCTTTGTCTGTAATATGATTAAAATTTGATTATTTATGGTCATTAAAGAAAAAAGGGAGTAGCACTTGGTCCTAGAGCTCTAATGGCACTAACTATTGAAAAGTGCATTTTTCCCTTCTCCTTGATGGGTTTCAAACCCATCCCATGTGAAAAAGTTCAAAAAAAAAAAAAAAATAAGTAATTTATGTCCATCGAAAAAAAAGAGATGGCTTATTTATGTGGGATTTAGATATCTACCAGAAGACTCGTATTAATTCATATCTCTAATCAAATTAAAGACAAACTAATCTGGGTTTTGCATTTGGGTTTTTAGTTCAGTGACGTCAAATCATATATAAGTGCATTTTTCATCCTTTAAAGTAACAGCTCGAATTTGGTTCTTTGTGAATTTGTTCAAAAAAAAAAAACTAATCTAGCTTTTTTTAAAATAATTGTTTTTTTTTTAATTAAAAATTTGAGAACACTAAGTGTATTTATTTATAATATTTAAAAAATAATAAGAGATTTTTTATAATTAAATAATTAGTTAAAATAAATAAATAATAATATGATTAAAATAAAAAAGTACATATCTATTTTAAAAAATAAAAAACAACAATTAATTTAAAATAAATTTAAAATAAAAATAAAAAATATTTTGAATAAGAGGGAGAGGGAGTAGCATGTACAGTTTAGGTGGGGAGGCTTGTGATTTGCATTCAATGGTGGTGTCAATTTCCCATTTTTCTAGTAAATTATTTGGCTTTAGTTGAGGAAAGCGTTTAAATCCACTAATTAAATATTTTAAATATAAAAGACTTATTTACTCACTGATAAGAGTTTTAAACTTGTCTAACCACCTTTCCCACCCCTTACTCCACATGTTAAACTAATTGTCTTATCAAAAAGTTTGTCCCTAATTGTGATTTTATGTGTAGGTCAATGAATTTGATTAACAAATTTAGAATGGCCGGGGGAAAGCATTAATTTTCTTTAAAATGGAGTTGGTTTATAGTTGGGAGTTAGGTCCCCATGTTCTCCTTAATTACCCCCTTCTCTCTTTCTGTGGTCATCGGCTTAGGGTATTTTCAGT